GGCTCCTTCCATTCGCTGAGCAACTTGTTAATTCTCGGTAAGTGAATGTTGTGCTGCAATGAGTGCGTTGATTGGACTCATATCCAAACATACTCTGACCTTTCTTCAATAATCCATCTGAATTGAACTGGTTTACAGCCCGAAGTGCAAGGTTTACTGGGCTGGGTTCGCAGTTTCAAACTGCGATAACTCCGTCTTTAAATCAGGCCTTAACTTGTACTCTGACCACCTGCTTGTTCGTGACGCCACGTTACGTAGGTACGTGTTGGACATTTCAATTCGGGGAAGTCTACTATGGTAAGGTATAAGCTCATATATCCGTTATCGAACTTGAACTTAGTTCAATACATCCTTAAGCTTCTCTGTGGATTGAGGTATCATTTCTTTCACATTTTTCGAGGTTTTATATATAGGCTTCAATAGTTTATCATCCGACTGAGTTTTCTGTGGATTGATGTTGGTAGGTAAACCAGTAATACATGTACCTAACGACAACAAATCTCTCATTTCCACTATTAAATCATAGTCTGGCGAGGTGTTACAAATAACAGCCTTAGTGACCGTAGTGCGTTGATCCGTTAATGTAAACATCAGATCTGCAACTATGTCTCGACACGTAATCTCTCTCTCATCAGCTGTCGTAAGCATAGTAGGTTCTGATTTACGAGTTACATCTGTTATTTTACAGAAATGTGATAACATACAAAAAAATTCGAGCCCGGATCCAACAACGCTTTTGTTACATGTCTATTGACCCATGCGTCAAGGGTGACATGCTCGTCTTCAGGTGCGTCCTTTTATTTCAGACCAAGATCCGGCGCATCTGACACCTAATCTCAGCATTCGGTTGTAATTTGCACATATGTCCGTGGCAACCTTCAGCCCCAGCACTGTCTGCACACTTCGCAACAAAAAGTTCGCAACACAAAGTTCACATTTCTCTGCGTGCCTACCATTTCAACGTCCATTTGGCTCATGTCGGGCCATGGGCCAGTTGCAATCTGCTTCAGCATAGTCCTTGGTCTCCTTATACTTGGGCTTTTGGGGGATCAGCTGCCTGAGCTGACTAGCTTGCAGGAGTCCTCCAGTGTGACATTGTTCTTGTGGCCATCAGAACCTCGAATATGTTTGTTTTGTCCACCTTTGTCTCCACCTTTGTATCTTTTGTAATTACCCGCTACCGAAAGAGAGTCTCGACTATTTGTTAGATTGCGAGCCCACAGAACCCGGACAGTTAGAAGTGGTCTGCTCTGCTTTCGAATAAAACTCGGTCCGTGTGAAGTCTGCGAGTTGCATAATGACTACCTGGAACCAAATGAGAACGCAGGAGGATTTAAAAATCTACTCGCTGCCCAGGACGAATGTGCTTTTACAAACACGCACCAGCGGAACTGATCATGTTTTGTCAAACTCAATAAAAATGTTTTATGAAAGAATATGATAGCCCTTTATTAGAAATGAAATCACTGCGTAAGTCATGGGCAAAGGGAAACCCGTTGTGTCAGAGTCAAAAGAATAACACGGAGGAAACGGACGAGTAAAATCGTTCTCGAGCACAGCCACGACGCCTCAGACGCACGTTGGGGGGTGGGGGGAGACAGAGAGATGGGGGCTCATGCACCAGTGGAAGGACGCTATAGCGGCCTTCTTCTTAAACTACAATGCTACGACGTCACGAATTATATTGACATCACCTTACGAGCGAGAAACTGGCACAGTCTACCGTCATGTCACAGATTTGGCAGTGAAATCATTGTTGGACAATGCACTGGGCTTTTAGGCACCGACAGTAATGCTGGTGGACGTTTCAGAGGCGCGTTCTGTGATAGAACAAAAGTATAGAGAGAAGGCACAGCCCTCACAGAAACAGTCAGCAGATTTAGCGCTATGGGATTCGCCGATGCTCCAGATTGGCTGAATGTACATATATACACCCATGACAAAAATCAGCGTGTAAGAAAGATGGGCTCGACGGACCAGCAGAAATTATAGCATACAATCCGCCAGTGATATTTTACATAAGCGATGTAGCCACACAGAAGTAAAACATAGTGTATAAAAAACAATAAAGGGACACTAACCTCAGATCGGGAGGCACGAAGTTAGCCCACGGGGTGCGTTCACGAGATTAGCGTGTGGCAACTGGCTATCAGCGACGCAGCGCTGTCAGACACCTCAACTGGATACATGACCTCTGATAGCTTTACGGTTGAGGTTTTGACAAGGACGCGAACACGATTGAGAATTCGCATCAAATGTAGTCAGGGATCAAACTAGCGCATAGGTTTGCGGAGCCAACATCACTACAGCAAGAGAAGTCGGACTAATGTCGGCAGAAATTGAAAGCTACACAGCTTTTCACAAGTGTAGATAGAAAACTATAGCACACAGACCATCACATTTAGGAATTCAGCAATGGTGAACACACCAGGTTCCGGTCGGTGGTTGGGACAAACAGGGCTCTGCATCTGAAGATACAGGACAGGGCTCACGGATGGGGGCGGAGTCTAATTTGATAGCGTGAGCAAAACATGCTCCTTAATTAGGAATGAATAATAAACCATCAAGGGCGTGATGGCTTGAGACCACACAGGGAGGCACTTTTACGGTCAGAGACGAGGCAAGCTGGCTCTCATTAGTACACTATAGAGATTGGTAACGTTATTGCTGACATCTAGAATAGTTAAATAAAGCAAGGATTTGACGGAATCAAAGTAAATTATACGGAAAGTTTCTGATAGGGTATAAATATTTTGTTTCAGTTTTAGGCTAAATAGCAAAGCGATACTAGGCCAAACTATTTCGAACGTTTTAGTTTCTGATCTCACCCTCAGTTATGTATGTTGGCCAGGATAAAAACTTCTATGATCAGTATGTGGCACGGTATATAAAACACTGTAGTACTTGATATATTCCAGAAATAAAAAATCACTTTCTTTGAAAAGTACTCTCGGGCTGACTGTTAGAGTGCAATGTAGTAGACTTTAAATAAAGTGCAAATGTATGTATTTATTTCTGACCTCACCTTTGGGTATACCTAAGGTGTTTGTGCTAGTGTTCAGCCGCTTGGGCTGGCCAGGGTAAAACTCATATGGTCAGTATGAGAAACCTTATGCGAACACTTTAACACTTCGATGCTTTTCTATTTCAACTTCTCTGCAACTAAATCTCACGCTGATCACATGATGCCTTTCCGCATAGGTTGTGACTCACAAAGAACCGCAGCTATTATTAGAATGTTGCGGTTGACAGGCTTATTCCACTCTCGGGAATCGGTTGAGAAACTTAATCTGCTATCGGAAGTCGGTTAAGAAATAACTCAACTCTTGGGAGTAATTTAAGCAACTTGATTAGCTCTCGGGAGTGAGCTAACTCTGATGACTTCCATAAATCAAAGATGGTTTCTTGCTGTAAAATTTGGCCTGAGACCTGTAGTCTCTCACTGACCAGTGGCTCACCTATAAACAGAACAATATGAGAACAAATCTCAAATTACTCGCGTGCTCTCGGGCTGACCCTCCTATAAATCAATAATTTGAGCACAAGTCTCAAATTTCTCTGACTGATGACTTATAGCGATATTGAAATAGCCCCAACAACTGACTCGATAGTCAAGAACAGAACGATTAAAATCACTCTATGGCCGAAGTTCAAGTTTATCAACGACTATGTCAGTTTAGAAGTATCGAAAGCCGACTTCACGCAACTTAAGACACATCGAGAAACTATGTGTCTAACAGACTTATAGACTACCATTATGTGTCATAGCAAGTAAAAAGTGGTTAGAAGATGGGGTTTGAATCGTGGTTAGCTACGAGCCCACACCATCCAACCTGGACTAGATCAGTCCAATTCTGACGGTACTTTTTAGGAAGTACGAGTATCTCTAGATAAGAGTCCCTATCAATAGGATTGTACTCATTAATTTCACTTGCCTCGTATAATCGAGATGTTACGCTCCTTTAATAGGAGCTGCCAAAGTGTTCTGTACATACCATTCTTCTTGCTATATATTAGAAATTACAAAGGGTAAAAACTACAGGGTAGACAGCCATTATTTCTTCAGACTCTCGGAACCCCGAGGACATCATATAATACCAGAATCTACAATATAGCAACTGAAAACCAGTCAATGATTCTTTCGATTTACTGTTAAACTAGTGCGGGAATAAGAGATGGGTTCTATTTCTTTCTACCGAATAAATGTCTTAAAGTCTTCATTTTCCACTTTAAAAAAAACTTAATATAATGTGGAGCCTATAGCAAACTGAACTGACTTATGAGTATAGTATTTAATAGGCAAGTAGTTTATGTTCTCCATTCCTATAAAAAAGCAAATGGTAAGCTGCGCGAGTTGTTGAGAATCACAATTATGAATTTCAACTGATTCAGTGTGAATTAAATCTATAGTCATACATGTACATCATACGGGTATTTAGCATACAATTGGCCTTCTGGAGATTCCTTTCCAAACTTTACTAATCTACGACGGGCTACCAAATAGTACGCGTGAAATGATGATACAATTTGGCTTTCTAAACGGATTATTCGTGTGAACAATAAACCTCATCTATGTCTACTTGTAATGGTCTACTACTGATAATATTAAAGTATTCCATTCTTCCACGCCGCCTATTCACAGCATCGTAATAGTCGATGGCGGCCACGCATTGTATATACAGGGGACCCCGATTCGCCTTGCATATAGTTTTGCTGCCGTTCGAGACAATTCCGACAAAGGTGGTGAACCGGGTTCAGTTGCTTTTGCGAGATAAAAAAGTGTTTGCATTTGCGGCGAATCTGTCATTGCCAGATTGTACGTGAATTTGTACATGACGGAATTCTATGGTGTGTATATCGAACAAGAAAGGTATCCTCTGTTCAACTAAGAGCATGAACAATGGCACCAGAAAAGACACGATGAGAAGTCAGGATCCAATCAACGAACGTGGTTTACACTGCAGAGAATATGCACGAACTGTGCTATACTTGCACAAGCATGGGAAATGAGTTTTATTAGAAACAAAGTATGCTATTTTCTTCTTCAATGTATTATATATCGTTGTCATGAACATGTGCATGGTCATGACACAAGTACAATCTAAAAAAACCAATATTCCTGCGGCAGTTACATCCACGGCTCCCAGCCCTGATAAACCGAAGATTGAGGATTAAATCACACATTAGTAAGTCGAAAGGATAATGACCGTCAAGTTAAACCCTGAAGGACACTGGAAGGGCAAGAACACTCTCATTGAGTGACATACAAACGCGACGAAGGGGTCAAATAGCTGCTCTAAATATATACTTGCAGAAACCCACCTCCCAGGTATGTCCCAATATATTTGGGTCGGTTGCGATGTCGATGAGGCAGTCGACCTGCTGCTCAATAGTGAGTGTGGTATTTGAGCCCAATGTTGCGCGCACATTAACAGCAGCATCGCCCTCAATGGCGTTGACCATATGAGCGAGCTGTATAGACAAAATTGTAAAATAATAGGGGTTTGGGGGTTAAATACTAAATCAATCGAACCGGGTTTGAGCGTTTTATCGATTTGAAATCAAGTACCTATGGAGGTGTGTATGACACGCAACACGGGCATAGCGAGACGAGCACACACTAACTCAACGCAGAAGAGTCTGTAACGAAATAACAAGGGTGTGATTGTAGACACGATACGCAACGGGGCCACAGCAAACCAGGTGTACACTATTCCTACACAATAGAACTAATAATAATTAACGTCTCATGGACTGAAGGATTAATTGCAATATTTAAACCAATATACATACACATAAATAGACATACACACACACACACACACACACACACACACACACAATACATACAACAACACACACACACACAACACACACAACAACTAAATACAGTAGAACAACAACAACACACACACACTATTATTTACTAACAATATATATATATATATATATATATATCCTATCTATATATAT